ACAGGTAAGGAGTTGCCTAGGAAGACCTGAGTAAGAATTTCAGTATAAAATAAATCAGCATCTATGAAAGACAGGAAGGAATATGACAAATATTTTGCCGTATTCTTATCTGTTACAAGGTACAGGTAGGTGAGAGAAAGCTCTGAGATCAGGGACATATCATCATGTTAAACCTTTTTTTTAAACTTCATAAAAGTTGAGGTGTTGCAGAGTAAGATAAGGGTAAGAATTTCAGTATAAAACAAATCAGAATCTATGAAAGACAGGCAGGAATATGACGAATATTTTGCAGTATTCATATCTAGTACCAGGTACAGGTAGGTGAGAGAAAGCTCTGAGATCAGAGACATATCTTGATGTTAAACCTATCTTTTGAATCTCCATAACAGGTAAGGAGTTGCCTAGTAAGACCAGGGTAAGAATTTCAGTATAAAATAAATCAGCATCTATGAAAGACAGGTAGGAATATGACGATTATTTTGCCGTATTCTTATCTGGTACAAGGTACAGGTAGGTGAGAGAAAGCTCTGAGATAAGGGACATATCATCATGTTAAACCTTTTTTTAGACTCCATAAAAGTTAAGGTGTTGCAGAGTAAGATAAGGGTAAGAATTTCAGTATAAAACAAATCAGAATCTATGAAAGACAGGTAGGAATATGACGAATATTTTGCAGTATTCTTATCTAGTACCAAGTACAGGTAGGTGAGAGAAAGCTCTGAGATCAGGGACATATCTTGATGTTAAACCTATCTTTTGAATCTCCATAACAGGTAAGGAGTTGCCTAGTAAGACCAGGGTAAGAATTTCAGTATAAAAAAATCGGCATCTATGAATGACAGGTAGAAATATGACGAATATTTGGTCGTATTCTTATCTGGTACCAGGTACAGGTAGGTGAGAGAAAGCTCTGAGATCAGGGACATATCTTGATGTTAACCCTATCTTTTAAATCTCCATAACAGGTAAGGAGTTGCCTAGTAAGACCAGGGTAAGAATTTCAGTATAAAATAAATCAGCATCTATGAAAGACAGGTAGGGATATGACGATTATTTTGCCGTATTCTTATCTGGTACAAGGTACAGGTAGGTGAGAGAAAGCTCTGAGATCAGGGACATATCATCATGTTAAACCTTTTTTTAAACTTCATAAAAGTTAAGGTGTTGCAGAGTAAGATAAGGGTAAGAATTTCAGCATAAAACAAATCAGAATCTATGAAAGACAGGCAGGAATATGACGAATATTTTGCAGTATTCTTATTTAGTACCAGGTACAGGTAGGTGAGAGAAAGCTCTGAGATCAGAGACATATCTTGATGTTAAACCTATCTTTTGAATCTCCATAACAGGTAAGGAGTTGCCTAGTAAGACCAGGGTAAGAATTTCAGTATAAAATAAATCAGCATCTATGAAAGACAGGTAGGAATATGACGATTATTTTGCCGTATTCTTATCTGGTACAAGGTACAGGTAGGTGAGAGAAAGCTCTGAGATAAGGGACATATCATCATGTTAAACCTTTTTTTAGACTCCATAAAAGTTAAGGTGTTGCAGAGTAAGATAAGGGTAAGAATTTCAGTATAAAACAAATCAGAATCTATGAAAGACAGGTAGGAATATGACGAATATTTTGCAGTATTCTTATCTAGTACCAAGTACAGGTAGGTGAGAGAAAGCTCTGAGATCAGGGACATATCTTGATGTTAAACCTATCTTTTGAATCTCCATAACAGGTAAGGAGTTGCCTAGTAAGACCAGGGTAAGAATTTCAGTATAAAATAAATCAGCATCTATGAAAGACAGGTAGAAATATGACGAATATTTGGTCGTATTCTTATCTGGTACCAGGTACAGGTAGGTGAGAGAAAGCTCTGAGATCAGGGACATAACTTGATGTTTTTTTTAAACTCCATAAAAGTTAAGGTGTTGCAGAGTAAGATAAGGGTAAGAATGTCAGTATAAAATAAATCAGCATCTATAATATGACGAATATTTGGTCGTATTCTTATCTGGTACTAGGTACAGGTAGGTGAGAGAAAGCTCTGAGATCAGGGACATATCTTCATGTGAAACCTATCTTTTTGAATCTCCATAACAGGTAAGGAGTTTCCTAGTAGGACCAGGGTAAGAATTTCAGAATAAAATAAATCAGCATCTATGAATGACAGGTAGAAATATGACGAATATTTGGTCGTATTCTTAATTTTTTTTTCAATTTTTAAAACATATTTTACAACAAGTATTATACAAACATCACTGCCCTAAGTGAAGACATATTAATACAGAGAGCACTATGTCATATGTTTGTGCTTTGGATCACATGAACAAAACATTCAATAGAATTACCTAGAGTGAAATACCAGGTATACCAGACCCAGAATAGTAGTGACTGCCGAATAGCGAGAAATATAGGTTTTGTAGATTTAAGTATCCCTTGCTCTATTGCGTTAGCATATGCCTCGGGGGAAAAAGAGTTTTGTGAGAAATTAAGTCTTATCCCTAAGCTGGATATTCATGTGACAAAATAACAGATTTCTTATTAGTGGTTGTTGTATAGGTATGAGTTTCTAATTAGAATAAGAAAATAATTATTTCTATCTCACAACCTGAGTGTAATAATCATTCAATTACACTGGCGGATTAGTTTAGAGGTAGTGCACCCCCACCCCCCCCCCCCCCGACCCCCTTTTTTGTCCAATATATACATAAGATTTAATAATTCAATAATTTTCAATTTTAAATAAATGTAATTTACCCATCGAATAAATATTATTAAAAAAATATTTATTTAATTTCTCTATATTTTAACACTAACAAACTCTTAACTCTGACAAGCAACAGCACCCCCCCTCCTTTAAAAGATTCCTGGATTCGCCACTGAAATCTGCGTCGCCGTGTGAAATGGTAATAAGAAAGTCTGCTTAAAAGTCGCGGATTAAGAAGATAATCCTTTTGTTGCAGGTTTGAATCCCTCTGAAGGACGTGGAGACCGGTCCTCCAATGAGACCGTATAAACCGAGGTCCCTTGTCACAGTTGGTGCTGGCACGAAAAAGGTCCCTCACTGTGCAGGGGGCCAGGGCCCCCTTTTCTTTACTATATATACATAAGATTTAATAATTCAATAATTCTAGTGTGGTTGTGGGCTCCTTAACTCTGACAAACAACCGCTCCACCCCTCCCTGTCGCTGTTGGTGCTGGCACGAAAAAGGTCCCTCGATCACTGCTCAATGGCCCAGGGTGTCGAGCAGCTTTCGAACGGCAATTGTTAGTGTTCCCATGAGTGAAAAATTGGAGCAAGGATCTTAAGGCAGCATTTAAACACGTTTGGGTTTTTTTCTTACATGACCACATTTAACGATAGATGCCTGTCTCCACTAGGTAATACCCCCCCTTTTACATTCTCCATTCGCAATACGATAACAACCAAACTGCATTAACCGAAATACATATATAGAAAGGAAATATATCCAGTACTTTACCTCAACTCCTTTTTATTTTTCATTAAAATCAATCCACGATTGTCTATAATTTATCCTTGTTTGATGATTAATTTATATTGATAAATTGTTTATATACGGACATTCCCACTTTTCGGCATACGGATTGAAATTTAATAACCCCATTGTAAATGACATATGAAATAAATGTAAATTACCAATCGAATAAATATTACTAACGAATATTTATTTTATTTCTGTTTATTTTAAAACATGTGGAATATTCCATGTACGAGTGAATATGTCTCTAGTGATGACGTATTACGCATCTTATGAACGATAACTCGTTATATGAACGATAACTCATGTTCGACTTCTTTTACGCCATACCATCTAGTGATATCCATTTTACAAGCGTACAATATAATTAACATTGAAAACAATCATTTAATTGCGACCGCAAAATATAGTTTATCTGACAAATATGTAGTTTCACAATATGTAAACTATGGTTTACATGTCTAAAATATACTTACGTTAACAAGTGTAAATTATAGTTTAGGGTTTGTTAAATATAGTTTAAAGACATTCAAAGCGCCGAATTTCAATGATAGTCAACTTCTGTTTACAACCGAAATCTATAGTTACCAAATGTAAAACATAGTTTATTTGATAAATATAGTTTTGCGATTTGTGAATCTATGAATGACAACTCTTACTCGTAAGTATAGTTCAGAATATAAATTATAGTTTACAGATGTGAATCTGTGTTTCTCAGCAAAATCTATTGTTAACGTTTAATTACAGACAGATAAACGTAGATTAGTATTAAATAATTACTAAAAACAAAAACAAATTTTAAATCTAACATATAATATTGTGAACAATATTTAAAAATTATTTAAATTAAGTGAAATATGAGAAACGCACAGTATTCAAGCTCAAGTGTCAATTGAATTTAAACAATACAAAAGGGGAGCAGAGCTAACACATACCTCTAAAATATCAGAAGTGGGGTCATTTGTCAATACATGGAGAATTAGACATCCCTTGTCAAACGGTTACCCAATCCTGTGCTCCTTCTAATGACAAGATAGATAGAAAACTCTGGTGATAATTCAGTGTCTAACAAGGTCAGTCATCATTGTACATTCTGACAAAGTCACTGAAAGTAGAACTAGCTAAATGATGATTTTAAACAGACTAGTTGATATTAATGTTTCATTAGCTTACCTCGTAAGAAATTGTATACACAGAATATATTATGCTCTTGCGTTTCAACATATGCAGTTGATAAAGGTACTTATATTGCTAGTCAAGTAAGGGAAGATAAACATAGAAAAATAAAAGTCGTGATGACTCTATCGATCATCATAAAGTTTTGCTGTTAGATTACCATGTTACCGTCTTTTTCTAGTTTAAAAAAAGGTATATGAAACAGAAATATCAGACTCTATGACATATTTTTTTTTTAAAAATTCTTCCAAGTTCACTAGGATATATTGTGTTAACTTATGAATGGAAGCAACTATTGTTAACAACATTAACTTGCATCTGTTTAGATACACCACTGTGGGCCTTCCAGTACTAGATGCCACCGTCTTCATTGTTGTCGGGTTCGGGGGCCTTTCCATTATCGTGGCCCTCATACATAATGCCCTACATCGCTATTTCTTCAAGGATCAACACAGACTGGACACCGTGTTCGATGCGGGGGGACGGGTGACCACAAGTCTCACGGCCGTGACCGTAGCCTCCCAGGTTCTGTGGCCCGTGGATCTGGTCCAAACCTCGGTGATTGCTACAAAGGTAAGATATTCTTATATAATCATCAGAGAAATGTGTGTAGTCATAGCTGAACAAAGTAAATTTTTACAGATACTAAAGCTGGCGATTGTAAGGTGAATGAAAAATAATATGCAATTATAATTATTAAACATACCTTTTTTATTCTGAAAGGCATGCAGATGTCATTCTTTTGTGGACTGTTTGGAAATATACAATTCAAACAAAATTCATTTTTGTCATAATCTTGCATATGTTAACTACGGTGCATGCGCCTACAGGTTTGTAATTTTAAGTGATAAGTATTTTGATTACTTATCCCTTTCTATCCTCAAGAATAGTTCAATTTATCAATGTTCCCCAAATTTATACGTAATTTTTCTCATACCAAGTAAAATGAAGATCTTCATCCTTCATTAATTCATTGTCATGCACGGTTATCAATTTATCAATTAATTTTTATTACAAGTTGCAATTTTGTGTTATATAAACTGTGTTAGACAAAATGAAGAATGTTCCTGAATCCTGATCATGACAAGAAGCGCACGGCGGGTGTGACCGATCGGCAGGGGATGCTCACTCCTCCATGACACCTGATGCCACCTCTTATGTTTTGGAGGTCCGTGTTTGCTCTGTTCCTATTTTGTTTTGTTTTGTGGACTTTTGATCTTTAATGCTGTTCGTTATCTCCATATGTTTCATTATACGTGTATGTGACGTTACAATGATCTATAAGCAAAAAATAATATTTTTATAGTGATCTTTTTGAAATTCTTTGTTTTCACAGTCTGGACTTGGAACCATCTACTTCTATGTGGTTGGTCTGGCTATGATCATTGCTGTGTTTCCATGCTTAACTCTCAACTTTAAGACAAAGGCCCCAGGTGCTAAAACTTATCCACAGGTACTGTTATGTTTTATCAATTAAAAAAGAAAATATACATATGAGAATTACTCAAAGGATTGTTATTTAATATTCAAATGTTGAATATAAAGAATGCTGTATAATCATTTAACCGATCTCTTTTATACTCATAATCATATATAGCAGAATTTATTTTACAAACTCTTTAAAAAAAAGAGATATCTCTTTTTGTAAGAGAGATATCTCTTTTACTAAGAGAGATATCTTTATAAGTTAGAGAGATATCTCTATAAGCGAGAGAGATATCTCATAAAGTTAGAGATATCTCTTAAACAAGGTTAAAAGATATATCTTTCTTAGGTAGAGAGATATTTCTTTAGATTTTCAAAAAGAGATATCTGTCTAAGCTAAAAAGATATCTCTTTTAATGAAAGAGATATCTCTTTTCCATTCATCCTTAAAATAAAATAATTAATTCTCCCCTTTAAAACGAAAGCGAAACAAGTAAAGTCTCTGGAATAATTTTGCTGTTATAAGAGAAAAGACTGAGCATGCAATACCCAGAATCATATATGCACTATGTAGACAAAAATGCTATAAATCCATGGTGAAAAAATGCTAAAAGTTTAATATTCAAGAAAACGAAAGTAAGCATAAAATCTCAAATGCAATGGACCGAATTTTCTCAGTTTATGAAATAATCAACTATTTCTAATTTGAAATCTAGACAACACTGAATTACTTATCATGTTTAGAAAAGCTATAATGTTAAATATCATGAATATGTCGAAATTTAAAAATACTTTAATGTACTTCCGTGAATAAAAAGCTTCCTTCCGGTGAAGGGAGAAGTCATTTCAAATGGAATTAAAATACAAATAATGAAGAGAGATATCTCTTCGCAATAAAGAGATATCTCTTTTTGCTTGAGAGATATCGCTTTTAGACGGCTTTGAAAGATGTCTCTTTCAATTTGAGAGATATCTGTTAAGATAAACTAAGAGCGATATCTCTTTTACTTTGAGAGATATCTCTTTAACTTGGAAAGATATCTCCAAAAGTAAAAGAGATATCTCTCTAGGTGAACGAGATATCTCTTTAACGTTCAGAGATATCTTTTTTTCACAAAAGAAATATCTCTCAAGGAAATAGAGATATCTGTTAAAGCGGAAGAGATATCTCTCTTATAAAAAGAGATATCTCTTTAACGTTCAGAGATATCTCTTTCTTTGAGAGATATCTCTAAAAATGAGAGATATTTCTTTATAGTTTGAAGATATCTCTATTTTGTAAGAGATATCTCTCTAAAATGACAGATATCTCTTTAATTCTAAAATGAATTTTATTTCCGAATAAACAGCAAAAAGGCTTGTCATACATATCCCTTTATTTAACAGAAACACGAATGTCTTTTGACATCAGACACCAGTTAAGCGTTTCCGCCCGTCCTCTCATCTTTCAGTCTTCCCGTCCTCTGTTAATCAGTAAGGTTCATGAACCCTCTGGTCACTCATATAAAATTTTTCTTTAACTTTATATGATTTTCCAAAGGAAATGTATATACTGAATAAAATACAAACATTTATAGTATGGCTTGCGGGGCAAAATTTGACAAAAAGGCACTTCAACGTGACAAATTTATAAGGGAATAATAGACATTTGTGCTATTAAAAGTTATCTCTCTTATCAGAGTATCAATGTACATTAAATGACCCATCACCCTCCTCCAAAAACGCTGAAACCAGCTATAAACAAGACCTTTTTCATTTTTTTTCACTGCGAGTCTTTATTCAATGTAATTGTTTATGCTGGTATTTTCCCGATTCTGAAGTATAAATACAAAATTACAGCTCGTTGCGACGAAGAGTAAAACATAATGTTAAAAATAAAAAATAGAAAGGACGTCATTTAATTTTCAACTGACCGTTGACCGGTCACAATCTAAATATACTTTCTTTCTTTCCTTGTTTAATATCTTTACCTTTAACATTATTTAATATCTCTTCGAGAAATTTTCACTCATGTTGAGATGCCATCACTCGCCGTTCCGGGCTACAAAGTCTTTCAGCATTGAGGGATTTTTTTCGAGCCAGTATCTACATGTACTGTGACAAGGGGCCTGGGTTAAACGGTCTCATCCGAAGGATCGGTCTCCATGTCCTTCAGTAGATTCGAATTTTAACCCGCGACCAAAGGATTAACATGTTATTCCCCACTCAACTGTGCATGTTCTAACTACTGCGATATGCAGGCAACCCATATACATGTAGTTAGTAGAAATCATGATCAATAGAATAGAAAAGATTCAACAAACTGAGAAATTTACTATGAAAGATTAGACTGTAGCATTTTGTTTTCCTAATCATTATTATACAATTAAATTTAAATTTTGAGCAAAATGTGTTTTACAGTATTTTCATAATTTGCTTCAAATAAATATTGTTATATATGGACACCATGCATTGCGAATGCCTTACATGTATGAAGACTTTTTCCCCATTATTTGTATACAATAAAACACCACTCGTTTCCCATAAGTAATAATTTATTTTCGTTTTTATCTAGACTTTGGTGTATGTTGACATCGTGCAATGCAAATTGACACTTTTTAAGTACAGTTAAGAATTTCTAGCAATTCAAATACATGTATTAGTAATTTGATGCATTTTTCAATTTCATATTAAAATGTTAATACTAACTCAGATCAATCTTTCATGAAATTTTGCAGGTTGTTTGTGCAAGATACGGAAAGGCTTCTCACATTTTATACTGCTGCATTGCACTAGCCACGAATCTCATCACAATTACGTCCATGATATTGACCGGAAAGTATATCCTAGAGGCCGTAATTCCTGGAATTTCTACGGAGTTGTCGGTTCTGATCCTCGTCTTCTTGTTTGGTTCCTATTGTTATATCGGAGGACTGGGGGCGGCTTTCTACATCTCTTATTTCAACACCTCCCTAATGTGCATTGCTCTGGCCGTATTTTCTTGGCAATTTCTTTCTCCGCCCGATGACCTTCCGGAAGCAGTTAGAAATGTCACAGATATCAAGACGATATATGAATCAGTTCGTTGCGTGAAAGGACCTTCTTTGAATGCTGCCGATTCACTTTTAACTTTTCGCTCCGTTTCCGGTTTTACTTATGGAGTTGTTGCGTTTTTTATGGTACTCGCATTAAATTGTTGCGATCAAGCTATGTGGCAGAGCAGAATTGCAGCCAAGCCGGAACAAGGAGTAACCGGATTTCTCATTGGGTGCTTCTTATACTTCTCTATTCCGACTTCGTTGGCTCTACCAACATTTCTTTCTTATGTTTCTCTAAGTTATCAAAATGGATCTTACCTCTTGTCGCAGAGCGATATGGATAATGGTAAACTTTCTTCTTTAATGTAGATAACATATTATCAAAAGTTCTTCATAGGAAAATGCTATAAAACCAATATTGCTAGCCAACGCAATAAAAGTCTTTTTTTAATGTTGTAAATGAAGAATCATGTATATTTTTTATTTATACTGTAAAACTAATTTCAAAACAATTCGATTTGTGCCATTTTAATAAGGTCATCTTTACAATATGTTGGTTGTCTTCAATCGACCAACTGGATAAAATTGTCCTAAACCAAAAAAACCTGTTTGAAACTATCTTAGTCCGATTTTACTCTGCAAAATAATACACTCGGATACCTCCTATTCCTAGGTCAAAGGGATACTTTATCAATATTGCTTTGCTACATGAATTTTTTGTCCTGAAGATAAACTTTCCTGAATAGACCTCGAAGTATTGTATAAGCCTAAGGCTCTGATATTTTTTGAAATTACATTCTTGTAGGTTTCATAACAAATATTGTAATGGAGAAAGTTTTGGATACTAGTGGATCATATTTACTTTTAATGATCGTCTTCATGGCGCTGATGGCCACTGGATCTGGAGAAGTTATAGCAGCATCTTCCATTATAATCTACGATATTTATAAAACTTATCTAGGACCATTCAGGTAGTTGAGCATGAGTCAAGTTTCTAGAATAACAAATAATTCTATAAAATGATATTTAAACATGACAGTTTTATTCCATTTTTTTCTGTTTACAGAAAGGACTGTGGTGCTGGGTGCTGTCCCCTATGCGGAGTAATGAAATTTTCTCTGGGTGATAAAGATAGGTCTTACTGTCAATGCATTTATTCAGCAGAGTGCTCGAAATGTGTTGCTGATGTCGAATTGTGCACCTCAGGCCGTCCAGAATATCAGCTTCATTACCAATGCCCAATCCATGGTGAATATCGTCATTATGAGGACATGTTAAAGGAGTATAAAGGCTGGACAATCATGTGGATCTCCTTAGCACTTATTCCTTATGGTATCATTATAGCAAACCTCGATCTCAATTTAACCTGGGTATTCTTTGTCTTTGAGTGTCTTTTGACCCCGTTTATATCACCCTTGGTATTGACGTTCACTTGGTCAAAATGCACCTCAAAAGGATTGATTTGGGTGAGTTTCGAGATCGCAGTATTGTTCAGATCACAAGTACGAAGGCTTTCTCACATAATTCTTGATGTAATTGTTTCTTTCTATTGAATAGGAGCTATATCTGGCTTGATTGCATCGATAGCTGCTCTCCTTATTGTGGCTGAGGTGGTGCATGATGCGGGATTGAGCGATTTCTTTGTTACAACTTCCTCTGACTACAGTCTGCTCAGGGGCATGCATTGCTGGACTTTTAGTTAGTACCATGGTTACAATCATCGTTTCCTTTGCAACTCATACAATAAAAAGCAAAGCAGATGAAGAAAAGGAATGGGCGAAAATGATATCAATTGATAATCCTATCAACTCATGGAAGATGTTGTACGAAGGAATTGAGAACTTTGAAATTCCCAAAGATCGGGACGTGACGGTCTCAGATATGCAGATAATTTTCCGGAAGGCCAAGAAATTGGCGTTTTTCGGAGCTCTAGTTTGTGGAATTGTGCAGGTGATACTTTATTTGACTTGAAGCGATTCCCTTATTGTAGGTAGCTCAGTAACGGTTGAAAACACAATGCAAAATAAAAACAGATTTTAATCTCAGAAACATCTTAAAGAAAAATATACTTTGAAATACGAAACATATGAGTCTTTCCCTATTTTTATTAAGAAAAATATTTTGAGAAACAAAGCAAAATATTTCTGGAAAAAATATTAATGTTTTTATACATATCTACATGTAATATCATTTAAGACTTATTGAATTTAAAAATGTGCACAAAATTTTACTTTAGATATACATGTATATTTCCATTTCTATTTCTTTTCTCTGTGTTAACTCTTTGGAGTTATTTATATGACTTCTTGATAATTCAACCAGAATGTGATTTTCGCCGTGCCATAGTTAAGAAGGCCTAATATGCACGTAAATCTCGTGCGGCTGTCTTTGTGTTTGACGTCAGTGGGCGGGGACTATTTTAGATTGAAATGGGAGGCCTCCTGTTATTTAAATTTATTAGACATTTGTAAAATCTAAATTTTGAATTTCATTTTATGAAGCAAAATATTGAAATGCAAATATATGTACAAATGTATATTTTCATCAAGCACCTGCATCAATGATAACAGAAACTTAAAAGGAAACGTGTAAAATCTCAATTATTTATAATTTCGAAAAGTAAAACACCACATTCTTTGTCTTTATTCTAATTTTTTCTCCTTTTAGGTACTTTTAATACCAGGGATCATGCTTGCTTTCGAGGAGTTGTCGGCAGACCAGCTCTACAGCTGGATGTTGTTCTTTTTCGTCGCATTGGTTATTGCAACAACTTACTCTGTTGTCGCTCCACCTGTTGAAGAAATCATTAAGGTGTTTACGTTAAAGAGGAAAAACGAAAGACGACCATTCTTATCTAAACGCCATAATGATACCGGCAAGTTTACGGCTTCCAGTAGACTATAATAATTGTGTTTATAAAAAAATATCTTGGAATCTTAAGACAATTATGATGAAACACTATCATACATGTTAAATAATATGATATATTATACTTTCATGTAAATTACTTGAATCTGATTCGCCGAGAAACATTTGATAAAAAACACTACTACCCGTTGAATAATGAAGCCACGCCCTCCTGCGTAGCAACAGTCAACATTGCTTGACGACGGGTGGTATTACAAAAAATAGCGACTGCGCGGAATTTATGCGCGCACGGTTCACTGTAATATGTATTTGTATAAAACATTCAGTATAATATAATAAATATTGCATGTAGTTGAGTGTAACAGTGAAAATTTTCACCCCTCGAAAACCATTGTCAACCTCGGCTGCGCCTCTGCTGGCAATGGTTTTCTTGGGGTGAAAATTTTCAATGTTACACTCAACTACATGCAATATTTATATAATATTATAATGCTGAGATACTTTAAAGTCCTTTTATTCTGTTATCAAATACTGGAAAATTCTCCACTTGTAGCATATCTGTGTTTCATCATCTATTTATATACCCGGTTTATACATTGTATATATCGTTTTTTTCACATAATTCAGATATGTTTAGAAACAGATAAAAGCAATATATACAACATATCTAAAATTTAAATATGAAAACTTAACTACAATGTAGTTATGAAATAAAATAAAAATGATATATGAGAAATCCATTTGCAGTTGATTTGTTTTATTGATTTAGTCAATCACATTTTAAAACTTCTCCTTTATATACTTTTATATGTAATTACTATACCTAGGTATCAAGTTAGCCATCGTCGCAAGCTACGGGTCTTGTATCCATTCTGTTTGTCAAACAGAATGGACACGAAAACCAATGGTTTGTATCGATGCAAGTTGACTTTTTATATTTTTTTCGTGAACACGAATCAGCCAGTAATTGTGGTGCGAAAGAAAAAATAAACGAAAAAATATCCTTAAGAGAGCTGGGTGATTGTGGCAATATTTACAACGATATTGATCTCCTTGTAAGGCTCCATATAAAGATTTTTAAAAATGATCAAATTTCAAAACTAAAATGTATGAATGTTTTCTTTGCCAAATGATAGTTGACGGCATAAAATATCATATCTACATGTAAAAGAATAAGATATATTTGCCTCCTTAATTCAAAATGACGATATGAGTTCTTTAGTAGGTACGGGTGAGTTTTCATCGATACTCGTATGCAGAAATTGGTAAAGGTGTGAAAAATAAAAGTAAGACAAAAGAATTTTATTTAACACTGAAAAAAAATTAAAGTTTTAATCTTTTAAGATGAAGAAATCGTCAAACTTTCGTAATCACTTTGACAGTACATGTATTCTAAATTTATTGTAACGACGATACATTATTGCTTCATTTTATTATTAGAACCATCACTATTCTTATTTTTAACATGAAACTGAAATTAAATGAATGTCTGACCGTTGATATCCACTTAAAATATAGACAAATTCCCTTGAAATATTTTAATTCATTAAATACTGTGGGAAAATATAATCTGATTATTCACGGCTACTTTTCTTTCTTAATGGTTTTAGATTCTTTAATTTTTCCAGAGTAGTTCTGTTTCAAATATCTTTCAAAATCTGACTTATTATTATAAGTATTTTTAGATCAGGCATAATTATTTTATTACTAGTATTCCAAATTGTGTTCATTGTAGATGAGAAATAGCTTTGAATATATAAATTTTGTTCGGTAAAGCACCATAACCGATTTTCATACCCTGCACGTCATTCCCGTATTCTTTATTACATTTCGCATTTCTGGTCAATACGACTTTACATTTCTTCGGATGTGATTCGGTTCAGTGGGAAATGGATTCAACACAGAACATGTACATTTAAATAGCTTTCTTTGATTCTGACAACTCAAGTACCAGAAATAATACTAGGAGTAGTGAACTTTTAAAATATTTCCAGTGAAACTTTTGACA